CACTGCAAGTAAAGGTCAAGGAGCTTATCTTAATCTCAACACAAAATTACCTTTAACTTATTCATATCCACCATTACTATTACCCTCAAGTTTGTCTCAATGTTTAGTGGCTACCAAATACGGGAATGATCGATTACCAATAACTATTAGTAAAAAAACTCAATCTGTATATAATTTATTGACAAAACCAGATGATGCTACTTTGAATTCTAAAAAAGGTGGATTAGTTCGAAGTATTAGAAGTCTTGGGTGTGCATCACTTAATATTTGCACAGTTGCTAAATGACATTTTGATGTTTATTGGGAAATTGGATGTTGGGAATGGTAATATTTACATTTATATGACATAATAAATTAAATAGACTGTTATAATTTAAATTTTAATTATTATTTAAAGGGATGTGGCAGCTAGTATTGTGATTCTTCAAGAAGCTGGCAGTATTATGGTGAATGGACAAGGTCCAGTTAATATACTTGGGCGTAAATTTTTAGCAATTAGAGGTGTTTACCTTGTTCAAGTGATGAAAATTCAAGACAAAGTCAAATACATCTTGTTAGAGAAATGTGGGGTTTAGTTGAAGAAATTGATTGTCCAAGATATTGACCAAAAAGTAAATAATTTTTTAATGTTCATTATTTTTAAAGATGTATATATTAAAGTTATTGTTATAACAAGCAATCAATAATATAAAATCATTTATTTGAATTATATAATGTCACCGTATTCATTCCTTTTGATATTTTTATTTCCAGTTTTATTAAATTCTTCAGTTGTTCTTGGAAAATAATGTTGATTTTTTTTCACATTATCATTACTATCATAATCATAATCATTATTGTTATTATCATCTTTGTATGTATATGATTTTTGAAAACTTGAAAATAAGTTATCATTATTAAGATTTTCTGTTGTATTATTATTTATATTCTGTTTATGTTTTGCTTTCTGTTGTTCTAATTTAACCTTTTCACGAATTCTATCCCATGAAGATAGTGGTTTTGAATTTGTGGACTCAGTTTTATTCCAATCATTATTTTCTTGATGATTATGATCTTTTGATGATGATGACGAATGATCTAAAATAGGCAAAATAAATTAGGATGTTAAAAAAATAAATGCATGTTGCTAGTTTAAACATACCAATTTCAGCATAACTTCCTGATAAAGTGGTATTTAAAATGTCAGGTTGATTATATTTATCATTGTTACCATCATTAGTAGCTTGATCTGTCTTTTCCTTTTCTAATTTGATCTTGCTATGTTGTGGTAATTTCATCTTTAACATTTCTTGGCTACAAATTTTTAAGAATTAAAATTACTTTTGGTGAAAAAAAAAATGAAGAAATTATAGATAAACTGAACTGTAAATCTCTTATTATCGTATAAACATTCTGTTTATTTGGTAATGTTTGTATAGTTCTATAACCTACAACCGTTCCATTGACACTTCCAATAGTAGACCCAATCAGCGTAGTTACTGTTTAATTCAATTCAATTATCATTTTATTAAAGACATAGACCTAATAAATTTGTTTGCCCCACTAGAGAAGGGAGATAGAAAAGAAAAATTGTCTCATGATATTTACCAAAACATGTTAATATCGTTGCACCAGGCCTAAATTTTTTTATGCGAGCTTTTTTTTAATTTAAATATGATTAGATGAAAAAATTTTAAAGGATTTAAAATGATTTTGTTTACTTATAAAAAAAAAAAAAAAAATATATATATATATATATACCAGCTATACCACCAGCAACAAAACCAACAAATGACCCAATTTTTACTAAATTACAAAAGTTAAAACAACAGATTTCTTCAAGAAAAAAAAAAGATAAATATATAAAACGTACATACAATGTTTATTATATAATTTACTAGCCTCCAACAAAGTATCGTATTCTTGTTTTGATAACTTGTATACTTTTGTTGCATTTGGAAGTTCGTCACCAAATGGATTATGATAAATTGCCATATCTTTTTTAACTTTTAAATTTTTTTATGAAATTTTATAATTTTACACATTATGACATCATAATGATGATGCGTATTGTGGACCTCAATGGTTACGCACACAAACGATAAATTTGGTATCATATTTGAAAATTTATTAATAATCCCTGAACAAATAAATAAAATATTAATATTAATGTTCTGTGAGAAAGATATTCGTTGTGTGAAAAACAACAATCAAGTCTTTTTATACAAAGAAAATAAAATTGATTATTAACAAAAGGAAAAAGAAATTTAAATTGGTGCAACTTTATTTTAACAACAATTAATAGTGATAATTTGTGAAACAAATCAAAGTTATAACTCGAAAGATTTTTTATTTTTAATGAGAAAGAATTAATTCAATTGAAGACAAAAAAGGGAGGAAATTTTGAATATTTTTTAAAGAAACTTTTAAAGAAATTTTTTGTGTTTAACAAAAAGAAAAAAAGGAATAATTAAAGTTATTTATGTCTAGAGACGCGTTAATGTTTATCAATAGGAGAAAAAATTTTGTTAGAATGAAATAAATTCCGTATGATAAATTGATTTAGTATGTGATAAAATTTTTATTATATTGAAATTTATTTAAATATAATAAATAAATAATTTTATTTCATTAATACAAATACGCACAAAGAAAATTTTTTTGGGGGAGTTAATTAGGTTTAATGAATGTTTTATTTTTTTCAACAATAACAAAAGAAAAAGACGCTACGCGTTCAATGATTTGGAATTCCTCAAAATTATTTAAAGTTTCTAATATATTATTAGTTATATGTACAATTATAAAACACGTAAAAATTAAAGAAACCAAATATTATTTTAAATAAATGCCATTTAGATGTTGAATCAAAGTTAATAAGACTAGTTGGTAATTTGAATTATTTTTTTTATTTTTTTTTTTTATTAAAAAATAATTTTTTCTCACAAATTATCTCTCATTAAAAGAAAATGAAAAATAAATGTAGTGAATTAAATAAATTAAATTCAAAACACAATAAATTTTTACAAGAGAACTTCTGTTATCTCCCTATTTTATTATAATTAGAAAATAAAGACAATAGAAATATATTATTATTTAAAAATTTAAAAATTTTGCGATTTTGAAGTGATTATGCATGAAATTCAAAAATAGATTTTTTTTATTAGGGACGTAATAAAATCATATGGAATGACTGCAATTAACAGATTTCATGGATGCCATGAGACCTCAATAAAAATCTTTTTTGCAGAATCGAAGAAGATCCAAAGATGAATTTTTTAAGGATGTTCATTGAGGCTGAAAATTATGCAACAAAAAAAATATATATTATCCCCTGCGGATGCCATTGTTCTTATTTTGTAATGATCGAATGGTGATACAAACTTTTGATAATGCCTCGTTATTTCTTAGGGTAATCAATGCAAATTTTTTTTATGATGATAAATAAAGTTGTAGTTCTCACTTCATAATGACCTTGTTATTGAGAGCATTCATTCACTTTACTGCAACCGCTACACACACTAGAATTTTTAAATCCTCGATAAGATCGGAGGATATAAATATCAAAATAATTTTGATGCTTATTAATAGTGACTCTTTTACACGTGAAACTAATACTTTTAAATTTACTCTTATTTTCATAAAAACAGTGTTAATTAACTGGTACTGCAAAAAATAAACAATGTGTAATTCTATTGAAAAAGATACCAAAGAACCAATAAAACAAAAGATCTTTTTTTTATCAATTTAGGAAGGGAAAGCTCGTGTAAATTTATCTTTCGCTAACTTGTTAAGTAATTAGGCGAAAATTCCAATACACAATCAATCCATTCATCCGAGCAAAGAAATCGTCATTTTGTTTTTTCTATATATATATATGATCTGTTAATGTAAATTATTTCTAGATATGGTAAAGGTAGTCTTAATTTAAACTATGGAATTCATATTTTAATATGAACAATCGCATATTATCATAACTATCAGATTGTTCCATGTATGTTCTTAGATCCACTCTTTGATTTACACATGAGAATGTTGTTTACCTTTTCCATATGTTTCTCACATTATAATGGTGATTATTGAAATTAAAATATTGTTAATTAATTCATTATCTCTAAAAGATGAGATGTGATAAAAGTGTGGGGAAAATATGTAAAATATTTGGTACTAAAGAAACAAGAGGGGGTGAAGGAATAATAAATAATTAAAGTGATTTTTTCGATTTAATATATAATATATCCTTTCAAATCGTGATATTAATATTGTTCTAAATTTGTGTAAATAAAAAAATATAGATGATAATCACGCAACATTGTATATTGTTACTATTACGTCAAGTGATTATTGCATTTTATAGTATAAATTAAGGCAAACGTGGCTCAATATACAAATCCGAAGTGGCGGTTATTTTCGTTCTGTGGCGTGTTTATCAACCACAAGTTTAAAAATACTGGATCAAAAAGTTTGGGTTATTATTTATTTACTTGTTATCTAATTATATAAAAAAATATCTCCAAATAAAGAAAACAAGGAATCATTTTTATTTTTTTTTGTATTAGTGGCGCATGATAATCGTGACACATATATAAAAATATGTGTGATATAATAACTTTAAAGTTTTATTGATACTAAATTTGGTGTAAATGAGAAAGACTTTCGAAAATTCGTGTTTTATTTTATAATAAATCTTTTTCCATAAAAAGCATTCAATTATTAAACCATCTATTTAATTCATTCATTCATTCATCCATTTGTTGATTCATTCAAACCTCCTTCCATTCCAAAGAATTAAGGAAACAAAACGGCCCTTTTCAAATTTTTGTAATAGAATTGATTTATTTGTACATACGCGTATGATAACTTATAGTGGTGTAAAAAAAGATAACAAAAAAAATCATTTTACTCGTACATTTATTTATTAGTGGCGTGTGTCTGGTAGGAATATATTCTTTCATTAAAAGAGTTTTTACTCAAAAAAGAAACAAAGAAATATAAATACCAATCATATTCACAAATAAACTATTTAAATTATATCTTTTTTTTTTATGATCAATTTAATTGATACGATGTTTTGTTAATCAAAAATTACAAAAGGAACAAAGCAAAAAAATAACTTGTCGTTTATTTAACCAAGGATTATTTTTATTTTTCCTACAACTTAAAAAATTTATTAGGATAAATTATTTTTAAACTTTAAATCATATCACATACAATAACAATCTCAATAATAAAAAAATGAATAATAGCAAAAAACTTGAAAAACAAGATTTTCCAAATATAGAAAAATTGTATACATGTGTAACTTTACAACTTGTTAAAAGAAAAATTTTTCGGCACAATATATAAAATTGATTGAATTCAAATTTGGAATAAATCTTGAAATTTCGGGCATTAATTAAGTTGGTTTAATTATTGATCTAGTTGTTAATTGATCAAAACAAGTTGATTGGTTTTGTTTAAAATAGAAAAACTTGTATAGAAAGTGCATGATAATAAGATTAAAGAAAATCTTTTTTCCTTTAAAATAATTGATTATGAAATTCATTTTGGAAAATTATTATTATATACTCTATATATATGCACATGCGTTATTAATTATATAAATCAAGATGTCATTGCATTTTATTTAATTTGTTATAATTAAGGTTTTAAGCATTGGTCTATTGTGGCAATTAATAAAGTAATGTTAATATCTAATAGAATAACGGGATTGACGGCGTAAGACAATAATAATAAAAGGAGCAGAGAGGAATTGAAGAATAATTTAGTACTCTTTCAATGAAAAATCAAAATAGGTAATTGATTTTTATTGTAATCATTAGCTTATTAAAACTTGCCAGAAAAGGGTCATAGATGATGAAAGGTGAAAGAAGAATAAATATTAAAGAATAACTCATCGTGAATTTGCGATCCTGCTTTAATTGATGATATGATAATCTTTATTTTTGCTGGGCGTATCAAAATCTATATTAATATTAATATAGTGATCTATTTTATTACGTTTGTATTACATACGTTGACCGTTTTTTGTTTTATTTTTTTTTTTTTATAATTTTATACATATAAAAATAGCTCCTCTCTTAAAAAAAAAAAGTATTTACAGTTAATCGTCTATTTCGCAAGAGAGACTTTAACTAAGCCCTGGCTTATCAAACTTGTATGATTTTTTTACAGTGCCACGAAAGTATCTCATACTTCCGTATGAATATCACAGGTACAAGCACATCATCTTTAAACCTGGATATAAACCAATGAACATATCCACTTGGCTCATATTCCAGGAAGGTATAATTTTTTTTTTTTACAATGAAAATTCAAAGCAAAGAATGAAGATCAAGACAAAAAAAGATTCCAATTGTCCAAATTTGTCACACGCCGCCAATTTAAAATTAATCGCTAAACTAATATAAGAATCTTTTGTTTACATGTTAAAAAAAATAATATTATAAAAAATGCACTGGCCATTGATATTGTTTGTGTATTATTCAGCATATATTTATAATTATATCCATCCATTCATCCCATGTAATATAATAATAATGAATTAAAGAAATTCTTTTAATTGTCATGTAAATAATAAATAAATAATACTGTATGTATGGATGGATTGACTTGTTTTTTAAAAAAAGAAATTAAATGTCAAAAAAATATTCTACAATAGTAATAAATTTTTATTTACATAATGATAGTAATAACAATGCTGGTTAATAACCTATTATTAAAATGTACGCGTGATTTTTTGTGGGGTAAATAGTATTGTTATTTTTGAGAATCAAAAAAAAAATTATTAAGGCTTTTTTTTTCTTTGCAGAAAATAGAAAATAATGAATACAATTTTACCATTGTGTTTTTATTTATATTTATATATTAAAATATATTTAATTGTTAAATTGTTATGGATGTGAGTTTTAATATTGTATCACATTTTTTTGTTATACACAAAACTAATTTCTTAAAAAAAAAAAATACTACAATAAGATAAGCTCCAATATCACAAGTGACACTTTAAAAGTATATTAAAGAGCTCTATATATTTACAGATCTATCAATGGTGTATAATTGCAAGATGTAGTCTTTGACCTAGATTTTGTTTGATATTCACATATTTTACTAGCATATTCCTCAGCGCAGATGAGCATCTTGCACCAAGAGTACTCGCGAGATTTATGGAGCAATTGACCAGGACAACATTTGTCTTACAGTTTTGGATAAACCGTCTTTTTGTCCACATCTTGTGGTTTAAACTCTGCAAGTAAAACCAAAATGATGGTTTTTGCATAACTATTTTGTGGATCCGGAGCTTCTTTTTTACCATAAATAGAATCCTTATGTTTTTTCTACACCTCACCATTTGGGTTATATCCAGTCATGAAAGTTCTCTACCCCTGGATCAAGAGAAATGATATTTATTTGGTTATCAGCTTTAATTTCAAGTGGCTCAGTAATATAATTCACCAATGTGATTCATGGCGAGACAACAGTCATATTTAATTCAGGTATTTTTTTTTTCACTTGATTTAATACTTTTGAAGAATGGATAACGACCAATGTTTTGATCTAACGACAATTGTATTTTCTAAATTTTAACATCTTTCTTTTTGTAATAATATTTGATATCAAAGACCTTTTGAGATTATGATTCAGATTTATTGATATAATTATCACTCAAGTAACTGCTCCTAAACATTTGTTTATGTCCAGCGAGCAAGCATCAATACATTTTAATATGGCTGGTTTCCTCCTAATTAAGTCAAAGTACGATTCTAAGAGCTTTCCCGAGTGGAGGTTTTTTAGAAGATGTCGAAGAAGCTACATCATCTTTTAAAACTTTTCCATATGCCACCTGGTAAAAGGGAAATGGTTTGAATCACGAGGTGTTGGTTTAGTTGAATCAACCGTAATCCATGATCCTCGAAGAACTAGTCTTTTTAAAGAATCACCATTAACTTGGATACAGTGATTTACCAATGGTTTTTAAGGGTAAGCTGGCTGTGATGCCATTGTATGTAATTTTTAAATTAACGATAAATTAATTTTATAAACATGATTGATTTTTTTTTTTGATTTCTTTAAATATTTTTATAATGCATCAATATTTTTGAAAAAACATTTAAAAAACACTTTCCAAAAATTAGCTTAATGAATTATCACAGAAAAACACATAAACCAATCAGCATTTATCAACCATATTACTACCCTTTATATATTCTGGCGTGATATTTATCTACCTGTGACATATCCGGTATGTTTTGTTTTATGTGATATTTAGAAATTTAAAAATTAATTTATACATTATTATATAAAATGTCAATTTTATTATTAGAAAATATAAAAGAAAAAAAACCTTATAACTTGAGATTCATTCTTTTGTCCATTTCATTCAATCATTTATAGATTAATTTATTTATCATCATCAACCAATTAAAAAAAATTTATTTTGTAACAATGTATCTTTATTTTTTGTACAATATAATATACTCTCTAATTAAAAAATTTTAGAAACAATAAAATAACAAAAAACAATAATAACAAAAACCTCTTAAATTCCCGCTAAATATTGTTATTTTTGGTTAGATTTAAAAGAGGAAAAAAAAGGTTTTTTGTGTTTTAAACTTTAAAAAAAAATTTTGTGTTGTGGGGTAACTTTTTTCCTATTGAATAAAAAGTAATATTTCTATAAATTATTCCAAGGGTAATTACCATCATCATATTATTGTTATTATTACAAAGACAAAGAAATAAACAAAGAGAACAATGACATCAAAGAAAGAAAGAGAAGAAATAAAATGGGATTCTGTGGTCATAATTTAAACTTTATTTCTTCGAAATTTTATTATTGATTTTATTTTATCATTAAAAATGACCGCCAAAATGATAAAATGAATGTCATAATGGTCATTAACATTAATTGTCATTATTGAATGTCATGTGATTAATTATATTACGTAATAATAATTATGATTGATCAGATAATCAATTGAATTCTAAAATTAGTATATTAATTCTAGCAAATACTGATTAATTAATTAATTAATTAATTGTTATAACAGTCTGAATGAATGAATGAATATGAACGAACGAATGAATGAATGAGATAAGCAAAAGATAGATGATAATAGCAATGGTAATAATAATATTATTATAGTTGTAATAATACGCATAGATAAATAACAATTAAAACCACACATTCATTCATCATCGTAATATTAAAAAACGTGTGCCTTTCTTTATCCAAAAATATAAATAAAACAAATAAAGAACAATAAAAGCATTAACTGACACGCAATTTTTCTTGCAACATATGAAAATATTTTTAAAAGGAATATTATTCCGATAAAATAAATCCGATAATGCACAGGAAATGCACAACATTGCACAAATTTCTCTCTTTTTCACAAAAAATAATAAATAAATATATTTATTAACATGAATTTCCATATAATCACTGTCAAAACCAATCAATCAATCGATTTCCTCTTCTTTACAAAATTTCTTTTCTAATTAATTTGCATATGTAATTTGTTGATTCTTACTATGCATATATTTACCATTGATTTTTTTTTTTTGTTTTAAACATTGTTTTCATTTACGGTCATCTGAACCACTATGATTACCACACAAAACATTTATGGTAAATCTAAACATTTATTTATCAAATGTCTTCTTCTTGTATGAACAACTTATTAAAGTTACGTGGTAAAGCAAAATAATGCAGCATTATTGTTGTTATTGTTTATTATTATTATTACCTGCTACATGCTAATAACAAAATAATCTAATTTATATTAAATTTTTTTATTTTTATTATAGAAACAGCAAAGTCGAAACTTTTGTTTAGAATGTTCCAATAAAAGCCTTTATGTTATTACCTGTTAATTGATTGTTATTATTACTATACATGAAACACCAGCTTTGCATGAAATTGGATCCTTCTTGAACTTTATTTATTTCATTAATGGACAAAAAATAATATTTTGAAATTACAAATGTCTATTTGAATATCAAGATTTCTTGAAACAATTCTTGCATGAAAATTTACTAAATTAACGAAGTTGCTGCTGCGGCGATGTTATAATGAGAAGATGTCTATAACGACGACAAATTATATGTACCCATTTCTTTTGAGAGAATCAAACGTTAATCACGCACGAATGAGATGGAAATGAAAAAAATAATTTAGTAACAAACAAAACTCAATTTTTTTAACATTGACAAAAATTCTATGCAAATCTTTGTCATACGAATAAATAGTTAAAACATTGAATAATAAAATAACCTTTAAAAATAATTATTTATTTATATTTATTTTTTTTTTTTCAATCATTGACGAATTATATAATAGATTATTAATATTAATAATATTAATAATATATTTATATAATAAATGAAATATTTATTAAGCATTTTCACCCATAAACAAATAATTTTTTTTTACAAAGGAGGAGGAATTAATAATATTATTAAATAATTTGAATTGAATTTATTAATGAAGTGATTATTAAAAAATGAATAAACTGTACAAAAAAAAAATGAAAAATATAAATGAAATGCAAAAAAAAAAAAAAAAAATGTTGGTAAAAGGCTTAATAAAAAAATTATTTAAATTTATTAAAAAAATTTACAAAAAATAAAATAAAATGATGGAAAAAATAAAGATGGAAAAATAAAAATGAAAACAAATTTATTTGTTTATTTATCATGGAATAATTGTTTAATTACAATAATAATATTTACTATATACTATTATTATTACCAAGTTGCTAACCTATATATATTGATAATAATAGAAATCAAAATTTTTTTAGGTGAATTTGAAATGTATTGTTATTACTATTATTGATATTATTTATATTATTGAAATTGAAATTGTTAAAATTATTATTATCAGATGAAGGAAGTGGAAGTGGAAGAGGTGGAAGAAGAGGAGATGACGACGACGATGCATAGTTGTAGTTATAGTTGTAATTATTATAATTATAATTATAATTGTTATTAAGATTAATATTATCATCATTATTAATGACGTTGTTATTGTTGTTATTATTATTATTACTATTATTATTCTTTAGATTCTCGTTTAGTAAAAAATTTAAAGACATTTTTTCCAAGATCGAAGAGGTTGTTGTGGACGATGACAATGTCGAATTTTCTTCTTCAGAGTTATTACTAGAAGATTTCTTTCTTTGTTTAGTTCTTGATGGCCTTCTTGGACAATATACGTAGTTGGGATATAATCTCATGTGTTTTTCTTTCTCAGCTCTCGCCTTTTCTGCATAAATTTGTTTGACGTGTTGTGGTTCATTTGCCCAATTATCAGCAGCAGATTTTGAAATGCGTGAAAGTTCCGAGAGTAAAATGCTTGGATTATCTTGTTTGATCCTTATTTGATATTCTTTTCTGTATATCATAAAAGAGTTTAGTGGACGTGGTGGAGTTTCTCGATTTCTTCTACGTTTCGTAGAACGTGACGATGAAGAAGTTAGTGAAATGTTGTCATTGGTGGTGGTGGTGGTGGTGGTGGTGGTGGTAGCAGTTGTTGCTGTTGCTATCGAGTTGTTGTTAGACATGTTGTTTAAATATATATATTGTTCAGTTAAAGTGCGCTTGTTTTTTGCCGAAGAAGAATAATTTGAGATTGATAGAATCTTTGACATTAAAAAAAGATGGAAAGAAAGATGAGAAAGATGATGAATAAAAATACTATTTATTTTTTAAAAGTGATAATAATAAATTTTATTAACTGGATCAAATATATTTTTTTTTAATTTTTATTTTTTTTTTCAGTTGATGATGTAAATCTCAAAAAAAAATAAGAGACCATCGCACTCACGTACTCTTTATATATATTTTTAACAATGAAAAATAATTGTTTTATAATATTATTATTAATAATAGTAAAGTAAATAATATATTATTATTGATATTATATTATTACGTATTTATGTTATTTATTATATATTATTTATATTATTGTATTTTTATTAATGCATTATGTTCATTATTTTAAAAAGTTATTTTGCATTATTAACAATCATATTTTCAAATATCACATCACATCACATAGTATAAATTTTTAAAGTAGTGTGGCTTGAAGTCCGTATTAAAATGATGATGAAATATTTATAAATGGAAATAAAAAAATAGGAGAGTAAATAATAAAAATAATTTAATTTAATTATTATTAATATTAATAATAATAATAATAATAATAATAATAATAATAATAATAATAATAATAATAATAATAATAATAATAATAATAA